AGGTAATACTTTGCTTACACCTATCCCTGGGGAATCACAGGTGTAATGGTACAAAACCTCAAAATGTTTGTGAGAATGCAGCAAGGCAATAAACTACAGCAGGAATCACAAAAAGAAACTTCCCGCATTGGCTATCATGGGAGAGCTCGCAGGATGAACTGGAACATGAACTGAAACATGACCAGTGTCAGTCCAGCAAATAAGTGTTTCTTCATCTAATGCTAATTGCATTCTTAGAAATTCTATTAAACAATAAATACTATTAAATTCTATAAAAATCAAAAAATACTTAGAGCCTTTAAGTTCTTTGTGATACCATGGTGAGGACAATCTCAAAAGTTTAATTTAGGGAACCAATTAAGGGAATCTTACTTAGAATCCAAAGAGGTACAGGATAGTGAAGGAGAACCTATGAGTGTTTCTTCCATCATATAATTGAAAATTTTAAAAGTTAAATCTGTTTAAAAATTTGAACAGTTGCACTGGGATTTAAAACAAGTACTATATGATAATCTGCTTAAATAATTATGTGAAAGAACTGTTTCATTGAAGAGATTAATTCTCTTTGCACTAGTATCTTTGGAAGCCCCCGATTCATTGGGGCTATTCGATGTGAATGAGTCCTAAAAAAATTTTAAAATATTAAAAAATCATTTATAAAATAAAGTAAAAAAATCCCAGGTAATTATTCTGGATGAGTGATGGGCTCATATGTGGAATCTTGTACTTCCACTGCAATAAAAAAGTGATATTGCACAGCTACTGCACTGACAAAGTTTTCTTCTTACATCTTTTTCAATAAATAAATGGAATATAGAATAACAGTGTGTAGATCACTAGGACCAGAAATACACTTTTCAGAAAGTTAAAGTAAGGGAACCAAGCAATCGTGTCCCACATCATACCTCAAGGACACTAAAAAATTATTTTGAGTAATTTTATATTATCAAAGAATGGATATCAAACAAATCACTCAAATTCTAGCAGGTTCTACCAGTTTAAAAAGTGAGAAAAAGAAATTGTCTGCAAAAAACTATTACAGCACATCTGCCTCCTTTAACCAGTGAGTTTTCCAGTCATTTCCTTAAAATCCATTGCAGTTACAAAGTCAGCAAGCTTATGAAAATGAGTTTATGGTTAGTTCATCAATTTCTTTGAAACAAGAGAGCTCACCGTTGCAGCCAGCCACATGATTTCTACATTCTTTCTCTTTTTGGCCTGGATATTTTGATGAAGACTTTCTAGCAATCCCTTTAAATCATTTTGTTCTTGAAAATGTGGTAAACCTGGGAAAAAAGGACGAAAAAAGTTGCTCATTTTGATAAGGTTGGTCATATGATTGTCCCGACTAAAGAATGCTCATGGTAAAGAACAGGTCTATTATTTACAGCCTTGTTTTGGAACACAGGATAGAAATTACCAGCTAAATATTTAAGGAATAAGCAAACCTTATGTCTTTTGAGTATTGCCTTGTCCTCCCTAAGATCTTCACGTGGAAATTTGAAGTATCTTCAACCTTTATCTTATAAATGGATGGTGAAAAACAAAACCAAATCTCTGCTGTAGTTCTGTTCATCAGCTATTACAGACATTCAAAAGAAATCAGAAAAATAAAAAAAAAACTGAGTGTATTACAACCTGCTTTGATGGGATGATTATTTTTTAAAATTAAAGTAAAAAATTAGGGTTTTGTTTTCAAATTGAAACATCTAGTTTTTGTTTTAAAATATGCCTTAGATTTTTCTATAATGTAAGATAAGGGTTAAACAGCACTTAGTATCCCCTCTAAAAAGTAACAAAGTATATTTCTCCTGAAATTAAGTGGGGCTTTATTTTGAAGTAGAAAATAATTTCAAGTTTGCTTAAAATCCAAAAATTTACCTGCTTGTTCTGGGTATGGAATTTAAGTTGAAGTTTAATTTATCCTACATCTCCAGCAAAAATTCAAGAGTAGGCAATTTAATTTCCCCCTCTGTTTCATATGTATATAGAGGAGGGATTTTTCTAATGTTGCATTTATCCTTGCTAGTTCTGAAAATCAATAAAAACATGCAGAATCTGTTTTTTGAAATTATTTCTTCTCATGGTGGCAAAGTAAAAAGAATTTAAATCATAGTTATCACCAAATAAAGGGGCCAGAATCAAGTGGAACAAAGTGAAACTAAATTGATCAATGGATTTCTTCAAGCAGAGAAAGTAAATTATCCATCCAGTGAGGGGAAAAAACCCCACAACCCAAGCCCCAAACCCAAGCCCAAAAACTTATACTCAATTGGAAGAAAAAAAATGAGGGAAGTATTAATGAAGGTCAATATCCATTCTCCTAACGTGATCCAAGTTGGAATGATCCCTCTCATCAACAGGCTTTTACCTTTTACATCTAATAAATTCTGTAGTTTCCCTTATCCATGATTCATAGGAAGAAGTACTTTAAATCTATTCAAAAAGAACTAAGTTGCTCCAGTCATACTGTGCTGTCTAAAAAAACTCACAAACAAAAAAGAAAAAAAGAAAAAGGGAGGAAAACGTACATCCAGAATCTGTTTTGCAATAATTTTAATGTGGATTGTTTTACCTCTGTATCACAAGCTCTGATTGTACATTAGATAATGTAGAGCACATAAAACCACATCACACTCTGCTAGACTATTACACTTATGGGTGCATCTGTTTCTTTAAAACAGAGAGCACAAAATGGCAAAGATGCTTTGAGATGATGCAAATGTATCACTAAACATTCTATTGCTCCCAGTAGCTTTCCTTTGGGTCACAGCAGAAAACGTGACATCTCAGAGGGATGACTTCAGCACAGGTACAGCAAGAGTCTCCTAATTCACAGTACTGCCAAAGGGGTTGCACCTTGACTGGAAATGATCAATGGCCTAAACTCCTTGGGTCCCCCACAGTACCAAACCACCAAATCAGGCTGATAAGGGGGAGAAGCCTGGAAATACCAAACAGCCTTTTTGTTTTCAGGTACTTACGTACTACTAAACAACTATCTTACGTTTTTGGACCCTTACTGTCTTAGTATTTCTATAAAAGCAGTACCATTTTGAGCTATATTTGGTCAGCATTTTTGGTAGGAACCTTGCTGGAAACATGCTCTTATTTTCAGTTTCTGCTAAAAGAATTTAAGAAGTTAACAAATGGGTAAATGACGAAGTGTATGTTCATCCTAAAGACAGAAAGTCAGTGGATGCTTAGTTACAAGCAAGACTATTATTGCCAAGGAGAAATACAGACACAAGAGGAAAACTAACAGCGAAGGTGGCAATACCTTTCAGGGAGTGGGAAATTGAATTCTTTGAAAGGGAATATATGAATGAGGCAGCAGGCCAGGGAGGCTGCCAAGGGTGGATCCAACAGCCTGGCAAATAGGGCTGCAAATGCTCAAATTCTGTTGGGCTTTTTGAGCACTGTTTGGAACTGACAGCTTTGGGAACACAGTCCTGCATTGATTTTGTAGCACAGATTTGGCATTATAGGAAATTATCTGGATAGGTGGGACAAAACCATCAAAAAGCCATCAATATTGAATGCCTCTCACGTGGCCCCAGCACCAGGGTTGCTGCCAGCCTTGTATGGAGGTTTGTCTTCCAGACGAGGGGGAACAGGAGTGGGATTAAGTCCTGCCACAAATGAACAAGTTTGAGAGCTTCCCTTTTTTCCCAGGGGGCTGGTTTAAAAGGCACATTTCTCCAAGGCAAAAGACTGACTCTGTATACTGGCAGGGAGCTACTGGGAAGGGCAGTGGAACCAAAAGATGCTTTATGTTCCACAAAAAATTGTATAAAGAAGAGACTGAGTTCTTAAAGGTAAAGAAAAAAAGCAAGAAAGTTATAATAACCAGAAAATACACGATGAACTAGACACAATTAGTTCTCAAAAGCCTTCACAGTCTGAAAGAAGTCCAGGAACTGTGTGGCTCACTAATAATCCTTCAGGAAGGCAGTACAAGTTTAAATTGTGTTAATGAAAAGTAGCCAATACTGTCTGCATGCAAATTTTTGCTTTTATAAAATAAAATCCATTTATGAGGTAGCAGATCTACCTTAGTCCTAACCTGCATGAGGTTAGTTTTTCGAGGATGTTTTCTTAGCAAGATTCCCCTCAATTAATCACCCAACTTATTGTATGAGTTTCTCTGTAGACATCCTGGAAATAAATACTAGGTCTGGGGGGGGATGGATGGGCATCCTGCCCATCATTTAGGAAGGGCTTTTGTTTCTGTCAAAATGATTAACAAATTAAAATCATCCTGATATAAGAGATAAACATGTATACATACGCATGTGATGTATTAAAGTTTTACATAGCATTTAAACATCAGGCAGTTAAATCTCCCACATTTGGGACTATAGTTTGGGCATTAAAACTAACAGGATTCGATTGATGCAGATGTTTTCTTCAGTCCTTGCTTCTGGCAATCAGAGTAACAGCATAGTAATGCTTATGTTTATAATACAGAAGTTCTACAGAAGTGGAATACAGGGCCTATTCCAATGAAACCTTGTCGTTCATATAATGATGATGTGGCTCATTGCTTGTATTTGATCTGCAGATTTCTCCATGGTTCACCAAACCTCAACATATTTTCAGAATAAGAACAGAGGGTATGACTGAAGCTGATGAAATTGCCCACCAAGTATTTATGTAAAAATACAGTAGGTACAGACTGTCCTCTACATGAAATATTAACAAACTTATTATTTTAATAACTTAAAATAGCTGTTCAGTTCATCATTCCTCTGTTTCATTTTCTCTGTAGTTTCTGCTGTGGCACAAGGCCTGAAATCACTCCTGAGACCAGCAGGGTCATGTACAGGTACAAAATGTTTAAATTTATGGAACAAGTTATGGGATTCTGCTAATATTACTGTCTTATAACCTTCTACCTACTCAAAGCTTTTCAAACCGATTTGGACATTGCATTATTTTGTACTCACAATCAGGAGGCATTTTTTCTGTAAATAACTTGTAATATTCTTTGAGAAGCTCTAAGTTTTCCTGGTTAATGTTTTCCTGCAAAGTGGTATCTCCAAACCTATGAAAATACACAATAAATTATGAAAAAAACCCAAAACCCACAAACAACAACAAAAGATAAATTATCCTTCATAGTTATTTCTTTGCATAAAGAAATAACTTTGGTGCTAAATGCATTAGATTTTGTCAAACATGCAGTAGTTAAGTTCTTGTATGCTTTGGAATTAATTTTTGGAAACGAGATCATCGCTGATGCATACTTCTTCCAAAAGTTTATTAACAAAGCAATCTATTTACAAACATGCAATAAGGCACTTATTCTTTTCCCCTCACAAATCGTGAATAAATGGAAAGGCACTTTGGGGGAATTCCAATTCCAAAAATTGGGTACCACAGGCAGAGAACACCAACTCTCCATCTCTTAGTGCTGCTACTGCTTAAGCATACCAATTTCTGTAAGAGCTGGATAATATGGAAGTGACACAAGATGGAAGAGAAGCTTATCTACAAAATAACTGTAGCTATAAAAACAAATATCTTTCTCTCTGAGACCAAGATTTCTACAACAGCCACATTTCACATGCCAAGAAACTAAATCTCACGGTACTACAAGAGATATGATTGTAAAGACACGAATGTCCCCATGACAATTAGGGCCAAAGTTTTGAAATTCATCTTCAGAATAGATTTGAAACGGGAATGGAGGAGTACAGGAAGAGAGGCATGGGCAGATAAGTGAGAAACTCAGAGAGAAGGGGACACAGATCAGAAGATACCAAATATGCTGCTAAATTGGGAACAAGGGAAGCAAATATTTCAACAGGCCACAGGGAGAAGATGTAACTACTTCCTTAGTAGCCATTGCTGCACTGTCACATGAGAACATTTCTTTTAAATCGGAAACATTCTCAAGTGTATTCTATCAAAAAACAAATTAAAAGATTTTTTTTCTAATACAGTAACATTTCCTAGAAATTTGCCACGAAAGTGTTTTTATATTCTCAGGTTCTTTATCCCACAAACCCCTCCATGTTTTTAGCCATAAATCGTGTGTGGTGTTTTCAGTCTCAAAAACAAATGTACAACTTTAGGAGTTAAGCAGCATTTTGAATTAAGACAAAAGCAGACTGTAACTGCATGCATTAAAGCTGCTTCTGCATTGAACTTATTTTCTCGGCAGATATTAGTACATATCCATATTTATAAATATGCAGTTATTTTGTTTTCTCCTATGGCTTTCTTTGCACACAATGTAAAATGACCACTGGGAACAACACTTCCTGCCACTTCACTTGCAAGCCAGGCATCTTTTCATACCAACTCCTCTACAAGCCCCCAGGTAATCAGGCTATTTCTAAATGTTGTCAAATTTTTCCTCAGACTATTCATAACTCAGTCCTTCCTGCCTATCTCACTCGTGTAAGCTCCCACCAGCCTGCTTCTTGCTTACCACATCATGTCTTACCTCTTATTTCTTGAGTGTCCCACTCAGAACTGTCATGACTGATTTTGTTGGTTTTGCACATTATGAGTTTGGCCACGTCACTCCTCTCAGCACTTTTCTCTTTATGTCATCAGAATAACCTATTTTCATTTTCAAGAAGTTTCCAAGTTCTCTAACCAGCTATCCAGCTCTTTCACAGTAAAATGCCAGATTTTACTGTCTTTAGATTCAGTCTATGTCTCCCATTTCAACTTTCTGCCTAAATTTTCTCACATACCACCACTCAACTTGGAGAAGTGTCCCATAAACATTCACAAAGCTACCTGATGACATTCTTTAGTAGACTTCTTTAAAAGACTGGGTTTACTTGGCTGTCTACAGTGAACAGGAGATAAAATCCTGTGGTGTTTAACTTCTTGCCTATTACCCAGGTTAAGGATTTTCACTGTCTCCCTCCATTACTCCAGCTACAGCTTTGCTATAAGCTTTTGGCTTAGAGCAAATGCAACCTCAAGATAAGCATTAGGTATTTTGGACGCTCTGTTAATAAAAGCAGCTAAAAGAAAAGAAGTTTTAACAAAGTAGCTGTCTGTATTGACATCTTGACTTCTACTTTGCAGTTTTAGCCCTGCACAAATGTGGTAATTTAACATGACTGACAGATACCCTTCTCTTGGAAGAGAAAATTAATACGTTGGTGAATCCATGACTATTATTATACTAATTAATTAGTTTCCAGCAATCTGTTGCAGAGGAGTACTAATTTCTCTAGCTTATCACTTGTTTGGTCTCTTCAAACCCATCTTCAAGATGTAAGAATTTTGAATTTTCAAACTTGTGTGAGAATTTCAGAGTACTGCATACAACCAAAATTCTGCATCTGAAATAGAAATCCATTTTGCACCTGTATCCAAGAGAAACATGGCACCAACTCTGTGAAACGGAGCCCTGCTTATGATCTTATCTTCATCTGGACTTTTTCACTGTTCTACATTGCTTCATAGCTTGTGTTTATTTCCTTTAATACCTTTGAAAATACACACTGAGTCAATGTGAGATTGTCTAAGAGCAAATAACAAAGAAGATTTGTTTCTAATCCTGAGAGATAGCCTGTACCAGCATGGAGTACTTGGACAGAAAATGCAACGTGACTTTTCCTTACCTCTCTGCCAGTGTTTGCTGCTCATTGATTCCAACATTAAAGAGCACTGGATACATGCGAAGCAGCTTTCCCTCTTTAATCTCTTGTGGCAGCAGCTCAAACATCTTTGCTGGGAGCTGGACCTCTATAATGTAATGTTCACTAGCAACAATGAAAACAAGAGTGAGGATGGGGTTCTTGAATGTCAGGAAAAGTTTCTTCAGCCAGAGAATGGTTGAGCAGGTTGAACTGGCTCCCCTGGGAAGTGTCACAGCACCAAGCCTCACAGAGTTCAAGAAGCATCTGAACTCTCAGGCACGGGGTGTGATTCTTGGGAAGCCCTGTGCAAGGCCAGGAGTTGCACTTGATGATGCATATGGGTCCCTTCTAACTCAAAATATTCTGTGATTCTGTAAAGAATGTTCCAAAAGCGCCTCTAATAAAAGAATGGCCTCTAATAAAAGCATGTGAGCTCCTGAACAGAATTTCACCTCCCCTGGGTGGCTGGTGTCTACCACCCACACCAGATGATCAGTGCACTGCTAGACAGTGCCACACACTTTGGATTGATTTGTTTGTGCACACAGAATGTCAGGTTTAAGCACTTTCCTAGAAAAAACAATTACAAGTAAATATGCTGACTCTTCAAGATAAGAATTTGTAGTTTGATTTTTCTGTCTTGCATTTCTACAGTCTTTCACTCTCATTTATTGAGCCATACCATATAACAACCAAAATAAAAATGGAGGGTTTCTAAAAAAATTATTAGAAAATAACTAGATTTTCACCTTTTCATCTTTTCTTTTTACGGTTCACTTCCAATGCTGTTTGATAGGAGCAGTCTTATCACAGCTCTAAGAGGAATGGCACTCCTCCACATAAACCTTGTAGATTTTATTTTTAAATTTTTTTTAATTTTAATTATTCCCAATGTATTGCCTATCATATTCCAGCCTTCCTGTTATTTATTCAATCCCTTCTCAGAAAGCCCATATGATGAGAGTGAATCATCCAGATTAATTAAGTAAATCAGTGGTGAAAGCCCCCTTCAGAGGAAACATATATTTTCTAAAAGTTCCTGCTTTTAGCTGAATTTAATTTACAGTCATCTTAAGAGCAATGATACTATTAAGGAAGTGATTTTTGCAAAATAAAACTATTTGGAGCTTCAGACTAGAATAATAATAAAGATGAAAAATCCATTCCAATCTTGTTAACCCTCAAATAGCCAAAATAAACGGACTATTGCAGTTTATGTCCTGACATTCAGCAGTACTCACGTGAGATTCATAAAGGATAAGTGATTTTGTGCAAGGATTTCTGAGACTGCCTATGTCCTGTGTGATTTTCAGCAGCTAAAAAAGGCTTCCATTTTTAAAAGTGACTACTAAGTTTTTAATACTAAGTGGCATCGGAGTTTTTTGGTTTCCATCTTAAAAACAATCAAGGCCTAACTCTTGGAACTGCAGTTTCATTTCTCATGCTGAAATACAAATTCAGCACATTCAAAAGCAAAGTTTCTCAGTTAGAGACCACATTTGTAAACAATGGCCTTGTCACTTGTCCAGGGTTCAGTATCCATGTGTGAATAATGCACCAGCAGCTCTGCACAACACAGACGCTGCTCAGATTAATCTGTATTAGTAACTGGAACTTCAGCTTTTTATCAGGAGAGTAACCCAGAGCCTACTGGCTTTTAGAATCCCTACTAACTCACCTTCTAAAAAGTAAAACAATGCACTTTCAATAAAACAGAACTCAGCAACAAGAAAACCATTAGACGGGTTTCATGGGCTACAGATTAAAACTGCAGCTCAGTTTCCTGGGCTCCAAGAAACAAAGTTCTTACCGCCTTCCACTTATAATAGGCAAAAAATCTTCTGACTTGGCTTCAATTACTCTAAACATTACTTTCTGCAAATCTGAAATGCCCACAGCCATGTCTTCGAGCATCCCTGCTTCTTCACCTACATGAAAAGATTAAAGAGACTATTAACAGAGTTGGCAGATCAGTCACTGTATAGGTCAGGGCAAAGCAATATATTTTCCAGTCTGTGCATCTAAAAATCACAGTTCTAAATCCACATTACAGTAACCTACATAAAACCAGACTCATTTCTTGAACTGCTGACAATTCTGTGCCCTAAATGGTAACCATGAGTATTAAGCAATTCTGAAAATCAGCCTGCTCTATATAGACATAAAATAACCTCAGAAAAGCCATTTTTGTCTATTCTGAAAGTTTTCAAAAGGCTTTCCTGCTGATGGAGGACAAAGGTTTTGAGAATAAAAACAAGCATCATGTAAAATGGAGAAGACAGCTATCTCCAAATGAGCAACTGCATAATAAAGCTGCACAAATGCTAAATTCCTCTACTTTAGTCAAAATCTCTGATTCAGGGAATGATTCCAATAGATCTAGTTCAAAGTTTGAAACATAAGGCAATTTCTCCCTCCAAATTTCCTTTTTAATGCATATCAAATAATGGCATGTGTAACAAACTATGAAACTGTTTTCAGGCTATCTTCACATTATCAGCACTGGGGATCAGGGCCGAGGCTGATAAAAGCAGTAAGTGTTTAAATCTTCCGTTTGCATTAGTTTTATAAACCTGCTATTTTGGGTCAGGTCTGCATGGAACAATAAGCAGGCCGTGTTCTCTGAGGAACTCAGAATGAAACAGATTAATAACTTTTGCTGCAGAATTAACAACACAGTGTCAATGACTTCAGCTGTGCTATTATGTGCAAGTCTACTGTCTTTTAAGGACAAGATTTGATTCAGCAAGCCAAATAAGAGGCTTGCTGAGGTTAAAATAAGAACTTCCTGGGTAACTTCTGGGCAGGGAACATAAGGAACTTTGTCCAAGAGCAATACTTACTGTATGTGCTAAGGAGTCCTTCATACTGCACCAGCAATCCAACAGTGTGAAGCTGTTGTAAAAATCCTTGATCATGTAAACCTGTGTGCAATTTGATTGCAAAACCACAGACCAATCCAGCGAGTTGTAAAGATAATTAAAACATGTGCAAGAGTGTTACAAGACAAACAGATACAAGACATTTCAACTGTTACAAGACAAACAGTTAAAATGAGGCTTGCCATCATTATACACAACAGAGGTAGCACCTACATATTTGAGAAATCAGCATAGGTATTTCTGTTTAGTGACTAAATACATGATTTCATAATAATGTATTTTGATGGGTTTTTTGGGGGTGTATAAAGTAGTGAAATATTCTGTTAAGGTATATTAGATAAGCTTAATTTGTTTTGTATCATTGTGTGTTATTTACACTGACATAAATAAGACCAGAACCTCACTTGTCAGGCTTCAAACATGCAAGACTGTGAATTAAACATGTGAATTCTGATGGATTTGAAAGTGGTTCAACATCTAATGTAACTGAATCTCCTAGGCAGCTGCCAACTTAAGAGAGAAATTAAGTGAAATGTTTAGAAAAAAATCTATCTGAAAAAAACATGATATACAGGAGAAGACATAAAGAGCTTCAGTTATTTGCCAAGAAAAGACAGTTCTAAGGAAAGACATGCTAATAGTATTTAAACACTTAAAACACTGCCACAAACTGAAAACAAATTATCTTCTCCCTATTTCCAAGGTGACCAGGAGAAAAAAATCTCCCTGGCTTGGATGCTGCCTAGCCAGTACCATGGATTTCTACTTCCTATTTAATTTCTTACCACATTATAAATTATTTAGGTGAATATAATGGAAAATAAATGAAAAAGCTGTATCAAATTGTAAGGGAAAAAAAAAAAAAAACAATGAGAAAGAAACCCACAAACACTGGCATGAAGAGTATGCTTATAATTAGAGCAAGAGAAGGAAGTGAGCGACACAAGACAACCTACTGCTTGGCTGAAGACGATGTCTCTCCTCAGGGTCAGCATCAGGCACTGGGGCAAGCCACAGGCAAGTTCCTGGAGCAGGACAAAGGCCATGGACTGCTTGGCCCTGGTCACCACCTCTGCCATGCAGGCCTTCAGCGTGACCACCTGCGGGTACAGCTGCTCGTACCAGTCACCTACAACACGACAGGTCATCTGCTCCAGACTGGAAAACTCGCAGTGAAAAACCCTTCTTCACTAGGAAGGATGGCAGGAGCAGCTGTGCACATCACCCTTCCCTTTAAAACAACCCCTGCAGCTCTCCCCAGACCACTGTGGGACCACAAATGCCACTGGAGAACATACTTATAAGCAGGATTCCATCTTACCACTGGGAATGGGGTTAAATCCCTGGCCTGAATCCAACTGCACTCTGAAACAATGGCCTTTTCCAACAGTCCCAGCATCCCTGTAAAACTGGTATTCAAGTGTCACAAACAGAGTACACAGGGAAACACATAAAACCTCATTTAGCACACAGAGATTAATACAGTGGCGATGGAGTCTCCTTTCAGGACTCAGAACTGGCTATGTAAGAAATGAAATAGCATCAAAAATGCAAAACCAGAGAGAATAACCAAATATTTAAGAAAAGGTGGGTGCTGGAGGGTAAAACACAATAACAAATAGGTATCTGGAAGGGTATCACCTACTTAATCTACAGGCTGGAAATATAAAAAGCTTCAGACCATATTCCTTTTTTTTTAGATTCTATGTTGTTCTCTTTAAACATTTAGACATTTTGAACTCATTTTAGCTATTTCTATCAGAGAGATGCAGAGTATTTTGAAACATGTTTTTCTCTATGAAAATACACGCTAGGCATATTAAAAAAAACACTCATGAAATGATTGAAAAATGTGATTCCTTAATACATTACAAATGAAACAGTGATAACTAGGAATGGAGGAGAATTGGAACACCTTACACAAACTTGCCCAATAATCCCAGCTACTCCTGAATTTTATATGATTTAATAAAATCAGACCTGCCTTGTAGTTGCATATGGCTTTGCCTACCCCTAAGTTGAGCAAATAATAAAAACAAATAAATAAATCCCCCTCCTTCAGAATCTACATCTCAGTTTGATTGTACAGTTTGAAATGAGGGAAATCAACACTCTAGAAGAATCTATATAAAAGTTGGGAATGCAACTGACAATGCAACAGTCTATAATTGGCTCATATTTTCTGTAGGTCAGTGTAATTAAGAATCAATGATAATTAAAATCTGTTGTAATTAGGTGCAAGACAGCAGCGTGTTGTTTCAGGTAACATTCTGAGTCAGGCCAGTAAAACCTCATTAGAACTGAGGAAGTTCTTGAGGCAGAAGACAGCTGCCTGTTGCCAGTCAATTTGGCTGAGCTCCAGAAAAACACACAAATTAATAAAACTGCAGCCAAGAAGACTGCAGAGAGCTTTGAAAGCTGGGAGAAATTAGAGAAAGCAAGGAGCAGGAAAGGGGAACAAGGACAGAGCATGCACAGAGAATCGGATGAGCTCTTTGTTAACTTTGTGGTCAGACAACATGAGTTTTACCACAGTCATACATATTTAACCATGAGTAAGTAACACAGACTGAGGAAGCATTCCCTGGAAAAAAGCAGTTCTGAAGCGAGTGTCATCCTGACAAAACAGACCATGAGCCACCCCCAGGCACAAGCTCCAGGTGATTTTATACATGTCATTGGCTAACAGAGTGATGACACGCTGTGTGCCAAACGCTGGTGTACACGTTTTAGAGAGGCTGCTGGAAAAATGGAGAGCTTGCAGCGCAGAGCTACCAAGATTTAATCTCCTTAAGCTGATGAAAAAGACTGAGCAGCAACTTGATTTCCCCTCTTCCTGAGGAGAAAATAACAAGAACTAACTGTGGTGTTTATTCCAGGGAATAAAAGCAAAAGAACAACCAGAGGCTGCTGCAAAACACAGACGAGTTTAGAAATAAGGTAGACAAAAAAGTGTAATGTACTGGAAGCCAGTGTAGACAGATCAGGCAATCTAAAGTCTCAGTCAAATTACAATCCTTTATTAATTTAAGCAATATACATATGCCAATAAAAGCATCAGCAGCAAAGTAAGCTCAAAGTCTAAAGTCTAAGAGTTCTCTTAGAGTGACTCAGTAAATCATATTGTATACATTTTAGAATAAGATATTTTTCAGAATACCTTTGTAGAATCACTTCAGGAAAGGAATAATACAAATTATTGCTTTTAACACATTCATGGACTCACACACATTGAGCCTTCGGATCTCAACTTTCTTTTAAATTAAAATCACAGCGGAAAATTGTTTGAAGAAGGGGTGAAGAATTAACTGAATGAGTGACCATCTAAAAAAAGGAGATTAGAAGCAAGAACAGAAGCGACAAGGAGACTCCGGGATGACTGTCAGGTTGCTAAAATGACATGGGCAGCCTGTCAGTTTGGAACACACAGCATCCAGAAGAACTGTCAGAGTCTCCGGATAAAGCAAAGAAACTCAGCACAAAAATAGAGCTAGTCAGCCACGGGAAACTAAAACAAGGCATGAAAACCAAACATATTAAATTAAAAAATTAAAGGATGAAACTAAAAGGACAGTACCGCCGCTATGCAGTTAGAATGAGATTAAAACAAAAGTGCATGTTCCACAAAGCACTGAGTAAATATTCCATGTTCATTGCCAAGAGAGTGATGGCAGCTCAGTCTGTGACAGGATTTGCCCTTTGGTTACTGGAAAACGCCCTTCAGCCCCATGTTCCTGTAATCAACAGGCTGTGCAGGCAAATGACCTGCTTAGCACCCAGCTAGTCAGTTCTGCGTGCTCATATCCAAGTTGCAATATGTCAAACCACATGTTAAATTTTATAAACTTTGGCAGAAAAGCAAGCTTCTGGTCTTTTCAAAGTCAGGCCCACTGAAATGCTCATTAAAATATGCTGGTAACCAAAAAGGATGCTTCAGCATAGTACTCCTATCTCCTTTAGCCCTAGCAACAGATTAAAAAAGCCAATTTTGTCACTGCTATTTGTGCCACCTAAAATCCAT